CTTCGATACCGTCGATCACGGTATCCTTCTGGCCCCTCATGGACATGGGGCTCAGGGGCACTGCTTTGCAGTGGCTCCGATCCTTCCTTGAGGGACGGTCCCAGAAGGTGTTACTGGGTGACACCTGTTCGGCCCCACAACCGTTGTTGTGTGGAGTCCCACAGGGTTCAATTCTGTCCCCGATGTTATTTAACATCTACATGAAGCCGCTGGGGGAGATCATTCGGAGTTTCGGACTAAGATGTTATCTCTATGCAGATGATGTCCAAATCTGTCACTCCTTCCCACCTGTCACCAAGGAGGCTGTCCAGACCTTGAACCGGTGTTTAGCTGCTGTATCGGACTGGATGAGAGCTAACAAATTGAAATTGAATCCAGACAAGACAGAGGTCCTACTGGTCAGTCGTAAGGCCGAACAGGGCATAGGGTTACAGCCTGTGTTAGACGGGGTTACACTCCCCCTGAAGACGCAGGTTCGCAGCTTGGGAGTGATCCTGGACTCATCGCTGAGCCTGGAACCCCAGGTCTCGGCGGTGGCCGGGAGAGCTTTTGCACAACTAAAACTTGTGCGCCAGCTGCGCCCGTACCTTGGGAAGTCAGACTTGGCCACGGTGGTCCACGCTCTTGTTACATCCCGATTGGATTACTGCAACGCACTCTACGTGGGGTTGCCTTTGAAGACTGCTCGGAAACTCCAACTGATCCAGCGAGAGGCAGCCAGATTGCTCACTGGAGCGACATACAGGGAGCACACCACCCCCCTGTTGTGTCAGCTCCACTGGCTGCCGATCCAATTCCGAGCACAATTCAAAGTGCTGGTTTTGACCTACAAAACCCTAAACGGTTCCGGCCCAGTGTATCTATCCGAACGGATCTCCCTCTACGTCCCACCTCGGAATCTAAGATCCTCTGGGGAGGCCCTGCTCGCGACCCCGCCTCTATCACAAGTGAGATTGGCGGGGACGGGGAGCAGGGCCTTCTCGGTGGTGGCCCCCCGCCTGTGGAATTCACTCCCCGGGGAGATTAGATCGGCAACGTCCCTTCTTTCATTTAGAAAGAGGTTGAAGACCTGGATGTGGGACCAGGCATTTGGACATTCAGGCAGTTAAAGAAAGACTTGATGACGAGCTGGATTTGGACAAGACGGAATGGATTTATGGATTTACGGAACTCCGAACGCTGAGCTCAGGATTAGCCTACTACTGTGTTTTAGTATTACTGTGTATTGATGATTTAATTTTTAATTTGTAATTGCTTAATAGTTTTTATATATGTATGTATATGTGACAAGGCATCGAATTGTGCCTTTCTCTGTAAGCCGCCCTGAGTCCCCCCCCAGGGGGTGAGAAGGGCGGGGTAAAAGTGACGGAAATAAATAAATAATAAATAATAAAGATGTTGAACAGGATAAAGTTGTTGTTGTTGTTACAGAAGCCAACATACCTTTTCAAAGACTCAGCAAGACACAATATCATACACCTGGATTTCTACCTGACCCACTGAACTTCCTTGCTTTCTCCCTCCTCCGCTGCCTGTGAACATGGATTACAAGGTAGTTTCATGCTCCTTTTCCATAAGCCAGCATTTCTCTCTCCTTGAAAACTGGGCTGAATAAAGACCAATAAAGACCAATTTGGCTCAAAGAAAGTAAAGGACATTCTCAAGCTAACACTTCTTTGGGCAATAAAGGATGAGGTCTATGAGGTCTATGAATTAAGGATTATGCCCCTAAGGTAGTATGTTGAAACAATTTAGGCTTTACATATTAACAACCATTAGGGAGTACGGGATGATTCATCAGTCCACTTACACTACTGCTTTGGCTAACATTGCCAGATATTATTGAGGATGTTTAAGATACTTTTTGTGTAGACATAGATTCATCATTATGTGTGACTGAAATAGTAACAATGGTGTGTTTTCTTAACAGCTTGGGATGGCAAGTGATTTTAAAATCTAATAAAAACCTTCAGCCTTTTATTTCACAAGGCTTTCTTTCTACAAGAGTTGTAGTTAAACTGACAAACATTCACATTTCCTCTCAAGAATAAGGCTAGTCCTGAAAAATAGTACTAGGGACTAAACCAGGAATGGGCAATCTTTGGCCCTCCAGGTGTTTTGGATATCAACTCCCACAATTCCTAAGAGCCTACTGACTGTTAGGAATTGTGGGAGTTGAAGTCCAAAACCCTGGAGGACCAAAGTTTGCCCATGCCTGGACTAAACCATTGGATTTCAATATCACTTCATACATACCTAATCCAGTTGCAATGCACATTGTACAGAAGGAATTTTCAACATTGAAACAAAACCAATGTTTTAAATTGTCAGAACCATTTATTTGTTACTGTTAAACAAATAATGCAAAACATTAAAGCACAAAGCAAAAAAAGCAAATCTTGTATCAAACTGAAAAAGGGTATGTAACAAAGTTACATTCATATATATACAAAACAAGATCATACTATTATATACAAAACAGTCAGATCTCTAAAAAAGAGAATTTCAAGTTACACTGGTATTATATGCTACTTATATTACAAAACATTAAAGCTATTAAATTCACATTAAGTCTCTCACTGAACTGACACCAGACATCTGATTTAAGGCTGCAAAAAGAAAAGGTGGCAGCTTATTTGGAATGCTTCAAGCTGCAAATACGGACCCATTAACCATGTGAATTTTATTTCCCAGCTGGAGGAATATTTCCCTCTAATACTGTTTGTATTGAACATTCCTTCAGGAGATGTCTCCTAAAATTAAAATCTGAATGACAGAAAAGTTTATATATTCCTGTAAAGAATCTGAAATGAGAGCTGGAGTCTTCATTTTACTGAGGTAACAGAAATGAATAATGCTGGCTTGTTCATGCTGGGCTACAATGGCAGGGATCTTAGATTGTATCTCATTTTTAAGAGAGGGTGTTGGTTGCAAATGCTACACAATAAAAGTACAGATTCTGGTGTGGGACTGAGATGCTGTTTTGTTTAATTAGAAATCTGATGGAGGAAACAGTTTGAGACAAGACATATTAAACATGGGTCTTTTGCTGCTATTAAAAGAGAGAGAACCATTTAAAGGACCCTCTTGTTTACACTGAAGCTGTTTGCATGTCCGGATGGATACTCGGGCCACACTGTACATAAGCACAGACATCATTCCGCCACTTTAAACATCCTTTGGCTTCACACAAATGCTCTTAGCACCTTTTTTTGTACAGGCCACAATGGCATTTAATGTAAGGGAACATACTCCAGGGATGTATCAACAGTAAACGTGATGCAAGAAATTGTTTGGCCAATAACATCTCATGGATAATGTGCAGTCCTCCAAATATAGCTGAACTGTAACTTTCAGTATTTCACACCGATGGCTATATTGACTAGAGGTTATGGGAGTTGCAGTTCAACATCTCCAGGAGCATGCTTTGCCCACCCTGCAAATGAGCAGTTTTATAGACAAGTCATTATGTAACATTTCTATCATCAAAACATGACAGTATTTTAAAGTATTGGCATATGATGTTTGTTGCACAAGACAACAGACACGATCTTGTGCGTTTCTCATTTATTTCAGCAGGGTTCCTGCTGTCCATGATTGCAATTGCTTTATTAAACTTGTCACATCATTATCTCTATAACCCCCACAGTGTTGCAGGGATAGTTGTAAGCTAGACTGAGATCTCTTCTCCTTCTGCCCCAAAAGACTAATACATATAAAATGCTAGTTGGTTTAAATCAGCCATAACAAATGTAAAACAAGTTACAGTTCAGTGTTTGCAAATCTCTTCAGATTTAAGCAATGGAAGTGCAGTGTATTTGCACACTTCTTTATTGTGGTATAAATGTATCTAGTCACAGTAAGAATATCTAAATATTATAGCCAAGATCCAACTGTATATTGTATCCAAGGTGCAAAGACAATGGTAACTTTCTGCTGCCTCTTACTCCCTTTGTATGCTCTCCTCTGAGGTCAAGAGACGCTTTGGGAAAAATTTTTAGGAAAAAACCAACTGATTATTTATCATTTGTACCACTTTGCATATACCTCTTCCAAACTTGGCTTACATTGTTTTTATAAATGGCATGGTGGAGGGAATGTTTGTGAAACTTCATGTTGCTCCAATTAGACACAAGTATGTCTCAATACAGAATTTGTGATGTCTCTTATGTAAATCTAACAGCAAAGAGTGAGAACTGTGTAAGACATCAGGTGATATCTTGCACACTTCCCCTTTATTTCAGCTGGGTTTCTGCTACCATCAATGGCAATTGCTTTATTAAACTTGACATATATGTTTCGCAAAAGGGCATTTTTAAAAATATTATTTTGTATGAATGGATCTTTATTTTAAGTTTTAACTGATGTCTTTAACCTTTCTAAATAAAACGAAACAATGCACACCAGTTCAAATTTAAAACTAATCCTGCAACACTTAAATAAATGAAGCTCAAAATAGCACTCTATAAACATTTACAATTCCTTAAATATTTTAAACCTCTTCTTATCTCAAGAGAGTTCTAATTTCCTGAGTTGCAAGTACGGTGACATTCCTTTGCTGCAAGGAATTCTGAAAAATATATAGAGGATGATGATTCACGTTTCTTTGAGTGGTGGATTCATATTAGAAATGAAATCAGCGAAGAAGTTATCAACATTCACTCAAAACATACAGTATAAAGGAAAGAAATGCATGCTTGAAATACAATGCTTTTAAAAGGGCAATGTAAGGCATGGGGCTTTTAGAGGCTTTTGAAAGTGATAAAATGAAAAGTTTATATTCCTGATCAAATAAGATCAAGTAAGAGCAGGTTGCATATTCTTGCCAATGAACCACTTTTCTTTTTAAAATGATTTCTAGAGCACTATTAAATATCAATATGGCAAAAAATGAGAGGAGGTGGGTTGCCACACAAAGTAGATAGGAAACAAGTTAATCAATGCTTATTTTTATTGGGCCAAACTAGATGAATAGATAAGTGCATGTTTTCTGGAAGGGGTTTGATTTTTTTTTTTGTCGTGTCAGGAGCGACTTGAGAAACTGCAAGTTGCTTCTGGTGTGAGAGAATTGGCCGTCTGCAAGGACGTTGCCCAGGGGATGCTTGGATGATTTGATGTTTTTATTTATTGTCCTTGTGGGAGGCTTCTCTCATGTCCCGGCATGAGGAGCTGATAGAGGGAGCTCATCTGCCTCTCCCCGGATTTGAACCTGCGACCTGTCGATCTTCAGTCCTGCTGGCACAGGGGTTTAACCCACTGCGCCACCGGGGGCTCCAGGGGTTGGATGGAAAACTAGGACTCCAGGAGAATATGGTTTGAATCTCTACTCAGCCATGGAAACCCCTGGATGATTTTGGGCAAGCCATTCTCTCTTTTGGCAATGGCAAACCTCCTCTCAACAAATCTTGCCAAGAAAATCCTATGATAATGTAACTTTAAGTCAGAATCAACTTGGAAGGCACACAAAAATGAAAAAAATCCTTGTACATGAACCAAAGTTAATCCAGCAAGAGATAACATTTCACCTACTTTGTTTTCTTCATGAAGAAAAGAAGCAGCTCAGACCTATTAAACATCACAGCACAAAAGAACTTCATATGGTCAAAAAGAAAGAAGTAACTCATGTTACTTGAGTTACAACATTCTTTAGTCAATTCCCAATGGCTCCTCAGAATCATAAAAACAAATACTATGTCAAGTAGTAACAGTATTCCTCTGAAGCCACATGCAATCTATTTAAAACACTTTTCACACCAAACAAAACCCTCCACAGTGTTGTTATCTGTTCATGTGGACTCCATACAATAGCATTCCTGAGTTTGAAAAGGTGCTGCAATAAATGAAAGGAGCAGGCACCACCCTGCTTTGCCAACACATTCATAACAGATACCTGTCTACACAGAAATGTAGAACCACAGTTTATTGTTAGGGATGATGGAAATCTATTCTACTGCCAAGCTTTCCTCAGAAATTCTGCTGTCGTCTTTTCTTTGCTTCAATGGCATCGAGAATTGGCTGTCGTTTTGACTGGTATCTCTGTCGAACCTCTTCTATCTCCTGTTCCATCATGGGATCAAGTGCTCCAAGTCTCCTTTGAAGTTCTTCAACTGTCCAGTTTCTCAACTAAGAAACATACAGAACACATGAACATCATGCATTACCATAGCAGACAATTAATATCTAACTCCTATAGTTCATTCCACCTACAGAAGAAGCACTGAATCAATGGGAACCTGGTAAATTATATGCATTTCACTGGCTGTGCAGGGACTTGAACCAGCCACTACATTTAGTACTAAGTGTTTGAGAAATGATAAAATGGAGCCAGAGATACACACTGCAGTACTGAGTGGTTTGCTCTACCTAGAACAGAGCATTACAATACAATATTTTGCTTTCAGAGTAATGGTTCAGAATAAAGTGTAATTTATTGGCAAACACAAGGTAAAATGCAAGTTTCTCTCATACAAATTGAGCTATACTTTCAATTAATCTTCAGTCAAATAGAGACCTCAGCCAGTTAGAATGTTGTTGTTTTTTTGCCATTCTGTCTACAATTTATTGTGCCAACTTATTTCTCAGGTCTCCAAGATATGGATGAGTGTGTATGTGGATCTGTGTGAGATACAACTAGACCACACAAAGAAGAAGAAAGCAACAAAATAATAACTTCCTCATCTACAATTCCATCATTCACTATAGATATCATTATTCAGGCATATAGATTGATAAGCAGCAGGGAGGAGCACAGCCCAAAAAATCTCCTTCCTTCTCCCCCGGACTTTTGTTGACCACACACACTGCTTACCCCCAAAGAGTTTTTCACTCCCAATGGCAAAACACTCTCCAGAAGCCAGCCGCTTTTTTTTTTGTTTTAAAAACCTTCAGACAAAGGACAATATGAAAAGGAAGTACGGCTTCTGGGCGGCACAACACCTGAATCCCAGGAATGCCTGAATTTTGTCTTTGCTAACACTATAAGCGGTTGAGTTGCATTGAGTAGCACTGAGCAGAATGTACCCCAAAGAGACGTGCTATCAAGGTTTTCCATGAAGAAGCAGCCTCAAAGCAATCTGACATGCTTTGTGGGATTCAATGGAATCTCTTACTTCTATCCATCCCCCCACTACTTGCAAGTGCTTTAACATATTAATAATGCATGGGTTATCACAGTGTACAGGGAATAAGTATTTTAGTGGAGGACATTGAATTCTGCCTATCTTTTAAGGAAATTGTTCATTAGAAAAACCACTTTCCCTATCCGATGTATTATGCATGCACATTAACAAAGCTTTAGCCAAGATTCTTTTAAGCTGATCTATAAGATACTAATTGTAAAACATCTGTTTCAGAGAAGGTGACTATTCCACACCCATTCTTTGGAAGCTGAAAGAATATTGTAAAATAACTGCCGGTGGTGGTAATTCAGTGCTAAGTGTGTAGATTAGTCAACTCAAATCAATGAATGGCCAACATATATTCTTCTTGGTACATCATTTTCTCCCAAAGTTGTAGTAAGTGTTTTTGCTAGAGGACCCCAGAATTCTGCCGTAAGGCATTTTGTGGAGGAACAGTCGAGAAACTAAAAGCATTACTAGAGTTGCAAAAAGAAGATCCAACAATTAATTGGTCAACAGTCAACTACAACAGAGATTGTGATTAGACAAAAAAAAAGGGGGGGGGAATACAAGAGCTAGAGAATCAATGGAATTTATTATTACAGGCAAAAAATAATAATAAACAAATTGGGAAAATATATCAATTCTTTTTGAAAGACCAAACAATTGACAAACAAGTAAAGGAACCCATGATTCAATGGGCTAAAAATATAGGATGAGCAAAAAAACCTAGAAGAATGGGAACAACTCTGGAAGAAACCATTACAATTTACAAGAAGCTATGCTGTAAAAGAGAATTTTTAATAAAATGATGTATTGATGGTACATACTCCAGAAAAACTTGCGAAGATAAATAAAAGATTGGACTTACGTTGGAAATGTAAACCAAAGAAAGGTACTTTTTACCACATGTGGTGGGCCTGCCCAAAGACCAAAGATTTTTGGATAAAAATTCATAATGAAATGGAAATTATATTAAAAGACAAAGTAACATTGAAACCAGAAACTTTTCTATTGGGATTATTACATAAGTAAATACCAAAACATCAAGTAACAATATTTCTGTACATCACAACAGCAGCAAGAATATGCAAATATTTTGAATATGCAAAACTGTGGAAGCAACAAACTACATCAGTGTCAGAGGACTGGACTACAAAAATCTTAGAAATGGCAGAGATTGACAAATTAACTTTAGCCTTACTGCAAACTAACTTAACTCAAGTAGCTTCTGACACAATTTTTTTTAGCATTGATAAATGACAATGTCCTACAAATAAAATAGGCTTATTTCAACATCAATCATCCCTAGAGTATACCCATTGAAATTGATAGGATTTATTAGCCACAGACAACAAAAATCTCATTAATTTCATTCATTGCCTTTAGTTCAGTTACAACATCTCATACAACTACTTCTGCACAAATACACAATCCAGGGTATGAGCAATCTAAAAAAAAAATTCAAGAAATCCACTATGTAGGATAACGGATGTTCAAATATCTGCCTGGTTTCTTGAGATAGGTACTAGGTCATACGCTACACACCAGTTCAGTTTTCACACAATTTGTACTTCTGCTACTTGTTCCAGTCAGCTACAGCACTTCAGTGACTTTCTATAGGGCAGAACTACGCCAGATATAGACACCTATTAAATAAGCCATTATTTTAAAATCTGATGTGTGGGTAGTGTTTTGTGAAGTTAGGTGCTTTATATGCAAATGAATTCTAATTCAGTCTTCCTCTATCAGATTATGCTTGGAAGCTTTGTTCATAACTACCATCATCATTGACCAGGCCTGCGAGGACCGATAAGGGATGTAGCTCAAAATATCTGGAGGGGCTGAGGTTGGGGAAGTTTATACTCTTTAGTTATATACTTTTAGAAATACAAAATCCATCAATTACACCAAGAGAAAGAATTAATGTTTATATAAAGGTTCTGGGAACTGATGATTTCACACTTGTATGTGAAAAATCTATGCATATTTTGTAATTTTTATTTGCCCAAATAGTCAGTTTCATAATACAGGGTTAGTCAAAATGAATAGGCCAATAAGAAAATTAATTTTAGACGAATGTATGTTTATTGTAACCAAACTACAGCTACGTAGCGACAGATAAACTATCAAAGTTTTGTCTCACCTTCAGAGATGTTCGATATGGGCGCCCCGTGTGACACGGCAGATGTCCAAGCGATAGTCCAGTTCATTCCACATCCGTTGCAGCACATCCGACGTAATGGCATCGCATGCAGCAACGTCTGGGAAGGTGTTCGTTGAGGTCCTAACCCTACCTAACCCTATCCCTAACCCTAACCCTAACCCTAACCCAAACCCTTGAAATTCTCGCTGGACCGTAATTACTGACATTGTTTTAGCAAATGTCATCACACAAAACGCCTTCTCTTTGCTTGATTCCGCCATTTTGAAAACAGCGACCCCTAGCGACGCCTAGCGGAATTAACGTACATGTGTGTTGCTCAAAAAAAACTTTGATAGTTTATCTGTCGCTACGTAGCTGTGGTTTGGTTACAGTAAACATACATTCGTCTAAAATTAATTTTCTTATTGGCCTATTCATTTTGACTAACCCTGTATATAAATAAGCACTTAAAAATGAAGTGATAGCATAAATTCATACAAATAAGCTATATTGCATTTTTGAGCAAGATACTTAACTCTGACAATTCATTTTATGTGTTATGCTGACATTTTAATGTGGAAGCTTAACATAAAACCTCATGAGATTTCAACTAAGGTTACACACAAAATTACTATAACATTAACTTCTCAAAATTAATTTCCTACTCAAAATTAATATTTTCTGGCAAATATCTATGTCACTCAAATAGAAACACACTACCTAAATGCTGAGAAAGCAAAGTGAGACTGTGATAATGTCACTGTTCATGACCAAACATTTAGAGTGCCCTTGAAATTTTTGGCTCCCTTTGTTGCCAAATGTTGTACATTCCAAAAAGTATCCAAAAATACACCACACACTAAAGGACAGCAGGTCTAATATCCTCTTCCTGTGCGGATCTGCCAATTAGTACCTTTTAGTACAAAAAACAATACAAACATTGAGATTCAAAATAGCCTGGCAGGTTGGAATCATTTTCCATGTGGCTATAATGCAGGGAGAGGAAAAGTGCTCCCCAAGGTCTACTAGGTTTAATTCTGTTCTAATATTTATAGTCTTTAGGTTTTAAATTGTATATTATACTGTGTTTACCCTCTTCACCTCTTTGAGAGAAAAAAGTGGCATACATCTACCATTGTTTTGGGCTCTTGGACAAGGAAGGCCTTTTTAAAAAACAGAAAGTTGTAAAACAAAATTAAAAGTTGTAAAAAAAAATACAAAAGGTTGGTGGGGATGGAGCCAGGATGGTGGTACAGGCCTTTGAAAGTCTCACTGGGAAGCAATGTTGCCAGCTAGACCACTAACAGTTGTTGATCTCTGCTATAGTGCCTACAGGGAAAGGCATCTTCATAAAGAACAAGTGACTTGTTCTTCTTCTCAATATCTTGTTCCTTGGCATATGTTCATGAGCACTCAGTGTACCAGCCCATAACAGGAAAGAAGTGATATGCTTATGCCCTTCATATCAGCATGCTCTAAGCTCATATTCTTTGCCTGCTTGATAGAGGGATGGTGATGGATGGGCTTGGAGGTGTATGCAAACTACAAACAGTCCCCAAGTTACAAACATCCCACTTACAAATTACTCATAGTTAAGAAAAAGGATGGCACAACAGAAAGTAAGAGAAATCTACCCCTAGGAAGAGAAATTCTCTCCTGAAAGAGTTATCATGGGGGAAAACATGTCTCCACTAAAGCTTTATTGCCAAATTTTTCAAAATCCAATTGTCAGAGGGACAGAAAGTGAGGTGAAATCTTCTGAACAGAGGCACAGACAGCAAAACCACAAGGGTGTTAGCCGTTCCTTATGCTATCCAAAGCAATTTGGCTGGAGTTACACTTAAAAAATGTACTGGTTC